ATTAAAATTAATGAAATTTTCTATTTTGGCTTGTTCAAGTCAGAATTCAAAGTCTGCATAAGTTTGTGTAGCTGTTCTGCATAAGCCATGTAGCTTTCCTACATGGCTTTGGTATGGCACAGTCCCTATTACCACTCTTCTTATGAATTAAGAGGGTGTGTGTGGCTCAGTGGTGGATCACTTGCCTGGCATGTGGAGGTGGGGGAAGAAGAGAGAGAAGGGGAGAAAAGGAGGAAGAGAGAAAGAGAGAGAAGAGAGAGGAGGGAGAGGAGGGAGAGAGGGGGAGAGGGAGAGAGAATATTTGTAAGGATGAAGTGCAATAGGGCAGCGTGACTCCGTCATTCTGTTCCTAGGTGTTTAGTGGGCATGATACTCTCAAGCAAAGGAACCCATCGGTAGAGTGGAAAGGACAGCCTGAGTGGGACACAGGAGTTCTTCTCAGGATGTATTCTTTTCTTTTTTGGTTTTTACTCGAGAAAAGAGGGAGAGAGGAGGAAAGGGGCTGAGAGAGAGGATCTCTAGAAAGATATTTATTCATTAATAAAAGATTGAGGAGAGCATCAAAGAGGCCAAAAACAATGCATCTCACGTTGGTGGTTGTAGGATACTGATATCCTCTCCTCCTCCTCTTCCCATGATTTTTTTTTTCCCCCTGGAAAAGCCTTTTATCTTCCCTGGAAAGGCCTAGAGTGTTCCAGAAGGGAAGCCAGCCAGCTGGAAACCAGCAGCACCCTCAGTAAGCTGGGGATGGCTGAGACACAATGGCGACACGAAGGGACAAATTTCAGAAAGCCGAAGTCTGGGGCCACAGACGATACTGCAACTTGAAGGAGGAGCCTCAGGACCGGGTTCTTTGTGGACCTGCCCAGTGCTCCCCAGTGTCAGTGCCTTCCTGAGAAGCCACAGCTTCTCGCTGCATGTGCACGGTAGCTTTGCGTCAGCAATAACATGCTGGGTCTGGGGGCAGCTGCTTGGTTGGTATAGGACGTGCTCTCCTGAGTCCTGAGCCGAGCGCTAAGACAGAAACAGAAAACACCCTTGCGACAAAGCGGCTAAGAAGGGGTGGGGGAGAAGCTCCAAGAGGGCGCCCATGAGGGCAACAATGGCAAAGCCAGTGGCAAGCGTTGTTAAATGCTTCTTTTTTCAGATGAGGAGAGGTGAAGCGACTCAGCTAAGCTCATATAACACAGCAAATGCATTGAGTGGGCGAGCTGTGAGTGAGGCCTTTCTCTGGGCATCGGGAGGCACTGCTGAACCGAACTCTTCAGCCCTGTGTTCTGCACTGGTGGCTCTGAATGCCTGCACACTTTTCTTCCCAGGACAAGGGCTAGCAGATGGGAGAGAACACGGACTCAGCCGTAAAACCAAACCAGGAGGCCACAGGTCCTGGAATCTCTGGCCCTTAGAGGTGTTCAGGGCATCTGCCCTGCCCCTGTGTCTGGAGGGGATTCTGAGCATCCAGGTGTCTGAACTTGGATGTGGACACGGCTTGCTTCCATGACCGGCCATGCTCTCTGGAGGCTCTGCTCCCAGCTTGGGTTACACGGGGCTGGAAAGTGCCACGTCAGGTTGTGGATAAGAATAGAAACCTACAGACCAGGCACATGCTTCCCTGCTGGGCTCTGGCAGGTGCCACAGTTCAGAGTCACCCTGTGTGGGCCTGTGCTTCCCCACAGGCTGGGAATGGGTGAAGGACAAGTTCATTTTCCCAGGAAATCTGCTTCGGAGAGAACTAAACACACACTTGTACAGAAACACACAGAGACACACACAGAGACACAGAGACACACACAACACACACAGAGACACAGATACACAGACACACACACACACCTTATCCTCAGCTGATAATGCTAAGATCAATTAGACAGTTGAGGCTTTAAATCGGAGCAATACAGATAGAAGGGCACTCAAAGGGTAAGGTCTACTTAACACTTGGCCTGATGTAAGCAACGCTGTATCAACGGTGGCTCCAAAATTGTTTCCAATTTCTCAGCATTCAGGAAGAGCCTAACTTGACCTTAATGGCAAGTAGCTAGTTAGTTACTTTTACATTTGTAGCCATAACGCTGACTATGCCTATGGTGATGCCCTGTGATTGTCCGGGGCTCTGTTTGCACACCCATGTCTATGATGTCTCAGAAGGTCAGTGTTTAGGAATTTATGTGGGCGCTGCCACAGTGTGCTGTGGTGAGGTTAAGGTTAGCTCTGCTGCTGTCTTTGCTTCTCCATCAGTACCAGGTATGAAGGAATAACCTTGAGGAGCAACGCTTAGAGCAGTCGAGCCATGGGACAACCGAGTTCTTTGGGACCGTCTCTGGTGCCAGCTGTAGCCGTGCCAGGCACCTGGACCCCCAGATATGTCCTGGTTGTGGGGTGATGTGGCTGTGGGGTTGAGAATCCTGTGTCCCGAGCACGAGAAAGAGACAGTCTTTAGATGGGAGGCCTCACTCCCCGGCCAGGACCTTGGGTTCTCTGACCTTGATGTGCCCTGTTTCCACAGCGGGAATGCATATCAGTCCATGTGGGTCAAGCTGGGGTGCAGATTGGCAATGCCTGCTGGGAGCTCTTCTGTTTGGAGCACGGCATCCAGGCAGATGGAACCTTTGGCACTCAGGCCAGCAAGATCAACGACGATGACTCCTTCACCACCTTTTTCAGTGAGACTGGCAACGGCAAGCACGTGCCCCGGGCTGTCATGGTTGACCTGGAACCAACTGTAGTAGGTGAGTGCTGGCCAAGAGCTCTTTGCCGGAAACAGCCAAGTAAGTGCAAGGGGCTTTGGCTTAGGAGAGTGAAATGAGTTGAAAGGTTATGAGTGAGCCAACCAGACTCATCCTCCCTGTGACTTCCCTTAGCTCCTTGGGGGCGCTGGTTGCAGTAGGGGTCAAAGGTTCTCTGCTAATTTGTGCGGAGCAAGGTGCTCCTCCAACCTGCTTAGTCAGACAGAAAGGACCAAGATTGTTACTGAGAAGCAGGGAGCTAAAAAAAACACTAAAAAGTTTTAGAAACTATTAGAAAGTTCTCTCAAACAGCCCATTTCCTAAAGCATAGGTTTCAGACTCTGTGGGCTTGCAGTGTGGCCTCGTGGGTGTGGTGAAACACGCCAGCACTTTAGAAACAGAGATGTTGTGTGTGTAGACCACCACTCCTCCAGACTCAAAAACACAGGTGGATTCCGTCTTTCCCAGGGACAGGGAGGGTTCCCTGTGCTCTTGGAAGGATCCAGATCCAGGTGGTGGAGGGAAGGAGGGAAGGAGAAGAAAAGGGCTTTGGTGTTTGATGAGTGCTTGTCTGCCCCTTCAAGTCTCCTCCTCCGTCCTAGCCTGGCTAGTGCCCTACTCACTCAGGATCTCTCAGTCACTTACAGATTTGCTTTAGGGAGGGCTGGCTTTGCTCGTGTGTGTGTGTGTGTGTGTGTGTGTGTGTGTGTGTGTGTGTGTGTCTCATCCACAGACAGGAGGGCTAGAACATCTCTCTTGGAAACCAGGATCTGAGGGTCCTGTCTCTTGACAGATGAGGTGCGGGCAGGAACCTATCGCCAGCTCTTCCATCCCGAGCAGCTGATCACAGGGAAGGAGGATGCAGCTAACAATTACGCCCGTGGGCACTACACAGTGGGCAAGGAGAGTATCGATCTGGTATTGGACCGAATCCGGAAACTGGTAAGCACCTCATGGCAGGGCAGGGCGGGGCAGGGCGAGCAGGGTCAGGCTTGGACTCCGGTGGGAGAGAGGTGTGTGTCCACTGGCTGCCAGTATAGCTCCTAGAGGGTGTGTGTGTGTGTGTGTTTTATCAGGCACATGCTGTAATACTGGCTGTACTCCTAGTGGTCTGTTTATGTTTCAGAAGGAACAATCATAGGGACAGTATTCCTCCCTCGCCCAGGTATCCTGGCCTGCTCTATAAGCCCAATTTGTTGCTAGTCTATGGTAATATCCGGGAAGAGTTCAGCCATCTGTGAGGTCGAAGTTAGAAACACAGGTTAGAAAAGCATTAGTTTGGAACAGGTGAGGAAGAGATTTGCTTACACATCTGAGTACTTACATATACTTTATAAGTTCCATTTATACATCTTTGCTTTCTTATCCCAAGGGAGCAATTGATGGATCCAGGAGTTAAGGGCTGGACAGGCTTTGAGTCTTAACTCGGCTCATGCTCTGCTAGACGGGCAGGGTTAGGACTTGAATCAGGTTCCGTCGTGGGCGACATCACTGCGCCCTTTAAAGCTCTCGTTTCTGTATGGTGGGAAAAAAATTGATGGACCTGTGGTGCCCAAAAGTTCAGGACCACTGGATTGAAGATTGTAGCTCAAATCCTCCTGGACAGTTCTGTGAGTCCATGAATTCTCTTAGCTCTTCCAGGAGTCCATACTGAGTGCTTATACATCAGGCACTTGCTGGGAACATGGTGTGGCCTCATGCACCATCACAGAACCTTCCAAGAGGGGAGAAGACCTTTGGGAAAGGTTAAAAAGTGGCTGAAGTTTACAACTTTACAAGCTGGGAATTCATGGATGTGTGTGTCGCCTTGGCCTGGCCATTCCACGATGTACACAAGAGCCGAAGCACCACAACCTGTCCCGCAAATACACACAGTTGTGATTTGTCAACCTGAAAACCTTCTCTTTTTAAATATCAAAATTTCAAAATCTCTAGAGAGAGAGAGAGAGGAAAAAAACCCCATTGTTCCTTTTACACTTCTTTTTTTTTTTTAAGATTTATTTATTTTTTTTTATACACCACACTCTCTCTGCATGTGTGCCTGCAGGCCAGAAGAGGGCACCAGATCTCATTACAGATGGTTGTGAGCCACCATGTGGTAGCTGGGAATTGAACTCAGGACTTCTGGAAGAGCAGCCAGAGGCCCTTAACCTCTGAGCCATCTCTCCAGTCCCCCTTTTACATTTCTAAGACTGGTACCCGAGCCCTTTCCAAGGTTGAGATGTGCAGGCCATTCATGCCCATACAATCAGAGGACGAGGACAAGGCATAGCAGATAAGGTTTGGGCCCTCATAAGACAAGGTCTACCACCAGTGGCAGCTTTGAGACTTCCTACTCCTGGTTTGGCCAGCTCCGAGGCAGAGCCTTATGCACATATATGTGGTTTGCCGGTCTGGCCATTAGCCACCCCCTCCAAGACCAAAACAACCTCTTCTGTGTTTTATTCCTTATAGGCTATTACGATTTCACTGACATAAAAATATTGAGGATGAGGTATGGCAGACAGCGGGGGTTTATCTGGATTTGTCTCCGTGTTGGGGGTCTCAGTACTCTTCCTGATTTCTCCTTGTTTCTGTCTCCCCAGACGGACGCCTGCTCTGGCTTGCAGGGCTTCCTGATCTTCCACAGCTTCGGTGGGGGCACAGGCTCTGGTTTCACTTCTCTGCTGATGGAACGCCTTTCCCTTGACTATGGCAAGAAGTCCAAGCTGGAATTTGCCATCTACCCAGCCCCGCAGGTGTCCACAGCAGTGGTGGAACCCTACAACTCCATCCTGACGACCCACACCACCCTGGAACACTCAGACTGTGCTTTCATGGTGGACAATGAGGCCATCTACGACATCTGCCGCCGGAACCTGGATATTGAACGCCCCACGTACACCAACCTCAACCGCCTCATCAGCCAGATTGTGTCTTCAATTACTGCCTCTCTCCGCTTTGATGGGGCCCTCAATGTGGACCTCACAGAGTTCCAGACCAACCTGGTACCCTACCCCCGAATCCACTTCCCGCTGGTCACTTACGCACCCATCATTTCTGCTGAGAAAGCCTACCATGAGCAGCTGTCTGTGGCAGAGATCACCAGTTCCTGCTTTGAGCCCAACAGCCAGATGGTGAAGTGTGACCCACGTCATGGCAAATACATGGCCTGTTGCATGCTCTACCGCGGTGATGTGGTGCCCAAGGACGTGAATGTTGCCATTGCTGCCATCAAGACCAAGAGAACCATCCAGTTTGTTGATTGGTGTCCCACAGGCTTCAAGGTAAGAACTGATGACGTAGGGTGGGGGAGAATGGTGGGGATGCAGGAGGGGAAGTACTGAGCATTGGGGAGAATGAATCTTGGGAGCTTCTGGTCTTTTATGACACAGCAGGGAGGTGACATAAAGCAAATGCATCACTGACTTTCTTCAGCTTTGACTGAGACATTCAGCTGTTTAAGGCTGATCTGCTTAAGCCACTTCAGAAAGAGCATGAGGTTAGCCAGACATGGTGGAGCACACCTGTGATCCCAGCACTCTGGGAGGCAGAGGCAGGCGGATCTCTGTGAGTTTGAGGCCAGCCTGGTCTACAAAGCCAGTCCAGGAAAGCCAAGGCTACACAGAGAAACCCTGTCTCAAACACACACACACACACACACACACACACACACACACACACACACGCTGAAGAAGGTTAAATAATCTTAAATAGCGGCACACTCATATACTTTTTTTTTTTGACTTTTTTTTTTTTTTAAACTGAGGGACCTGACTCACCACATCTTGAGAACCTGCAACTCATTTCAGTTTGCCTAAAAGGAAGTTCAGTGGCTATTTTACACTTCTAGGTCCATTTTAATTTTAGAGCTAACAAAATGGTTCCAGTTTTTAGAGAGACATAATTCTTTCTTCTAACAGACAATGCATTTTTTTTCCCCCAACGTATAATAAAAGTTAACTATTTACCCTGTAAGCCTTAATCAATTTAGAATAACACCAAGGCTGTTTCGAGTCTTTATGTGACTGAGTCCTGTTTGTCATGAAGTCCTGACTTTCTCCCCTCCCATTAGCTATGCTGCAGAGCAAGGAAGCAGTTTCTCCACCCACCGCTCCACTCCTGTGGCCCACACCACCTTTTCTTCCTAGACACTATGTACTTTTATGTGTCAGTTTGGTCATTCTTGCCAAAAGCAGTCACGGTTGTCCAAAAACTGGACTACTTGTTTTGAATTGGAATAACCACACGGGCTAATAAGGGAGAAGGAAAAAAAAAATGAAAGAAATGGGGAAATAGTGGGGGTAATGAATAAAGATGGATGGCCTCTCTCTCCTTCATTTTGAGCCTGCTCCGAGGTCCCATGTGGAAAGATGAGCAAGGCGGTGCTGGCATCGGTAACTGCTCTTCAGGAAAGCTCATGCCAGCAGAATGCTTATTACTAAGTCTCACCTGTTGACATCCTCCTCAGGGGCGTTTGTTCCCAGCTTGACTCAGGTGTATGCCGTCACCTTCCAGAAGGGAAGAGAGGCCTAGGCTGGCCAGAGCCACACCAGCAAGACACACAGTGTGCTATTGCTGTGTTATCTCTTTCACATCTGTGGCCTGCTGCATGGTTAGCAGCTGTGTGCCTTACAGTCAGCAGTTCCTGAAGACATGTTTGTAAAGCAGTGAATCTACGAGGCTGGAAATTTAAGCATGACGTCGGACCAGGATATATGTTAGTTTTGGGCAGTACCACGGTTCTCAGTGTCCTGTGTTACCACAGTTTGTATCTTGGTGTCATGGCCTTCCAGTCTCCTATAATTCTTGCTCTGCTCTGGTTTAGGGCCCTTGTGAGGAGATTTCTAGGCTGGAGGCCCCGCTGGGAAGTGTCCCTCCCCATCCCCCAATATGCAAGCAGATCTTGGGAGGTTGGCTTGCTTTTGAGTGACCTCTCACTTCTGTGGTTGGTATTCTTGCTTTTCTTCTAAGAACCCTGTTTACCAGAGACCCGGCCTGGCGGCCTGGCGAGCAACACCATCCCCAAGGACTTCTTTAATTTATTGCTCTGGATATTCCCCGTGCCCTCTTAAACAGCCCTTTACCCCTGACAGATAAACTTTCCTAAATTTATTGCAAAAAAATAAGAGGAGCATCGGATAAGCATCCAGAAAACAATAAGCTCGGCGATAATAGATAATAATGTCAGTTCTGGAAATTGATCTGCCTCTAGCAGGGAAGGCATTTCCTGTCCCCTGCTCCTAAGATAAACATTCAAGATGCCTGCTTTCAGGCCATGGTTTCAGACAGTACATTTGGCAACTTGATAATTTCCACTAACATTTTACCAGCCTGTCCTTCCTCTATTTCTCCTCCAGTCTTTAGTTTCTAAGCCCTTGTTGGTCCTCCTGCCTCAGACTCCATGGTACTGAAATTATAGGCACACACCACCTTGCCCGCTCCCTTTTGATTTTTTTTTTTTCCCTTAGCACATACCCTTTTGATCTGCCCGTGTTCTCAACTTCCTTGTTCTTCCTGCTGTTCCGTCCTGCAGTTCCACCCCACACCTATGCCTGGGTCTTGCCAACATAGCCTGCTAACAACCGATTGCCCAACATCTTTGGCTGACTGGCATGTTGTCTGTGGCCTGTCTTTTTTATTTCCCCAGGTGGGCATCAACTACCAGCCACCTACTGTTGTGCCAGGAGGGGACCTGGCCAAAGTCCAGAGAGCTGTTTGCATGCTGAGCAACACTACAGCAATTGCAGAGGCCTGGGCCCGCCTTGACCATAAATTCGACCTCATGTACGCCAAGCGGGCCTTTGTACATTGGTATGTTGGAGAGGGAATGGAAGAAGGAGAGTTTTCTGAAGCCAGGGAGGACCTGGCTGCCTTGGAGAAGGATTATGAAGAAGTGGGGACTGATTCATTTGAAGAAGAAAATGAGGGGGAGGAATTTTAAATATATGACTGCCCCGTGACTGTGTCTCTCTGTTTGTGTCGCCCCACTCAGAGCATGCTGGGTTCCTTTCCCGAGCACTGTGCTAAGACACACAGCAGCAAATGTGCCTGCTCTCTCCTGTTTTCTCTTCTTACTGTGCTGTACTCACTCTTCTATGGGAAAAGGAAACCACAGAAAGAGAAAGTGATAGGCTGGCCCCGGCCTGGTTCCTGGTACATAAAAGGAAGGGCCCCTGACTCCAGCACCCTGGCAATGTGGCCAGCCATACAGATACTGAGCACACAGGGACCCCTCCCTGGAACGAGAATAGCTTCATTACTGGAGGATGAGGGTGGGGTGAGGGCACACATTAAGAATCTTAATTTTCTAGGTTAGGCTGGGTCACCTCCAAGACAGGGCCTGTTGGTGGAAGAATAGGAAAAACACCAGCAAAATCCCAACCTGGGAAGATGCTGTGATGGATCTGCAGCACAGCCCTGACCCTGCCTGGATCGATCACATCCATTCAGTGTTTGAGTATCTTCATCCCTTTCCCCCTCAAGGGTGTATTCCGAGACTCTCATTAGGTGTTGACAGTCACCAAGAGTCCTGACCTGGACCTGTATGTATGCGTTTTTCCATACTTACACACATTGTGAAGTGTAATTTATACATCAGCACGGTAAGAGGTTAACAGTCACCATCTACAGAATGGAGCAACTATAACAAAATACTGTTTAAAAGTTATGCAAGGAGCCGGGTGTGGTGGCACAAGCCTTTAATCCCAGCACTCAGGGAGGCAGGGGATCTCTGTGAGTCTGAGGTCAGTCTGGTCTACAGAGTGAGTTCCAGGATAGCCAGGGCTACACAAAGAACACCCTGTCTTGAAAAACAAAACAAAACAAAAGCAAAAAGAAAAGAAGTCTTGGGTATAGTTCTTTGATGAGCAGGTGTTTATCACATGTGAAAACCTGGGTTCATTTTCTACTACTGTACTCAGACAGACAGACAGAGCAGCAGATGTGCCTGCTTCCTTCTGTTTTCTCATCTGGCTGTACTCGCTCTTCTATGGGAAAAGGAAACCATAGGAAAAGAAAGTGAAAATAAAAGTACCCACAGTCTATGCTATGACCTAGACACTATCTCAAGAGCCAGTGAGAGCCTTCCTAAGTACATTTTTTAAAAAAAAGTCCAGTTTAGATGGTGTTTAGAGATGTCAAACAGCAGTGACACTCCCCATACTATCAGGACAGATACTATCCCGACAGTATCGGGAGTGTCACTGTGGACTAGTGGAGCCTAGAAAACATGAGTCCAGTGATACTGGGCATAGGGAACAGCAAAATGAAAACATAAGGGAGCAAGTCTGGGTTTTGACAGCAAAAAGGAGTTTGCCAGGAGGGTGGGAAGTCAGGCAGGTGGCACAGTTATCCAGCCTGAGAGAGAGAGAGAGGGGGAGAGAGAGAATGTCATGAATGTTAAATGTCTCCTAAGAGCAACATAAGAACCTGAAAGCTTGAGGAAGGCTTCCACGGCACCTTATCTTTTATATACACCTTCAGTGCCCTCAACAATCTCAAGATGGAGTTCGGGTCATTTTGTAGAGGACACAAGGATGGAGATTCGACTGCTAAAGACTTCCAGGGTTGAGTTGGTTATGTTGTGGGTCCTTGTGCACCAAACACATACCCCTTTAAGCCTGTGTTTCTAGAAGGTTTCTAGTCTATTCTTTGGAAACCTCGAGAGAAGTAGAGTGTCATTGTCCAAAGAAAAGGAGAATTAGGCAAGAAGTGATGCTGGCTGTCTTCAGAGAGACTGCTCTCTTGCCCTTTTATGCAGAAGGTCACAGTGCTAAAAGAGCAGGTCTAGGTCTATTTTCTGTGGAGAAATCACAGAAATCATGAAGGGCCCAGAGCATGCCCTTTATGGAGATGGGCTCTCCAGTTTCCACAGCTGCCTGTACAGATGTCTGTGGTAGGGATTGTCAGCCCCTGTCAAGAAGGGGCATTTTCTCTGTTGATAGAAATGAGAGAAGACAGAGTCGCTGATAGACACCAACCTGATGTGAACTAGATTAAAATAAACACAATGGCAGCCATAGCATTGTCTCAGAGCTGTGTATAAAGGGAGTCGGGGTTCAGGAAAGTTTGAAAAACCTTCTTCTGCTGCTTCTTCTTTTTATTTTTTGGGACAAAGTTTCCCTGTGTAGCCTTGGCTGTCCTGGATTCACTTTGTAGACCAGGCTGGTCTCGAACTCAGAGATCTGCCTGCCTCTGCCTCCATGAATTCTGGGATGACAGGTGTGTGCCACCACCACTCCGCTGCAAAACATGGATGAGGCTGTTTCTTCTCTTCCATCTTCTGTCATTTGTTTGGGCCCTTGTCCTACTATGAGCAGCTCCACTTCTATGGCCCAGTTCAGGAGGTGGAAGGAGTATTGAGTTTTAAAACTGAAGATTAGTGTTCTCCATGAGAGGGAGGAGAGGGAGCTGGTCACTGCCATGTCCCAGGCATCCGCTTGTGAATCTTAGCCTACTGCACTTCAGCTTGAGGCTTCTTAGGAAGCTAAGGTAGGGACTGGAGCTAAGGTAGGGACTCAGTGGTTAAGAATGCTTTCTGTTCTTCCAGAGGACCGGAGCTTGGTCCCCAGTTCCCACATGCAACACCTTACAGCCTGTAACTCCAGCTCCAGGGGATCTGACATGCTCTTTTGGCACCTATACTTGCACACACACACACACACACACACACACACACACACACACACACGCATAAACACACACACACACACCACACTTACTCCCCTACACACTCAGAGGGGGAGGAGAGGGAAAAGCAAGTTCTGCAAATACCGTCAAGGTCCTGGATTAGAAGGGCAGTTACGCAGTAGCCTTTTGGGAGATTCCTGGCCTGGCTCTCTTGGCTCATGCCAGGGCCACCAGAGATGGCCACCTTAAGAAAATTCATTACCTGAGAAAAAATACTTTTACTTTGTTGTATTTTATGCCAGGGTCTAGAAGGCTCCATGGCTAACATAACATCAGTGATGTTTGTTTTCTTCCCTAGTTTATCAAATGCAATCCCAGGCTCCTCTGGGTGAGAGTGTGGCTAGGCATGCTTCCCCTGCTCCACATTTGCTCCCAGTTTAGGAAATCAGCTTAGGTTCCAAAGTGAATCTCCTAAGGAAGAAGGTGGGCATGTTCCTTTTCTCTGAACTTGCTGGTTCAGTCAGCAATTTGATGAGTTGTCTTGGTTAGGGTTCTCTAGGGGAACAGAAACTTATAGAATGAGTATGTAATATGGGATTTTATTAGAATGGCTTACGGGCAGTGGTCCAGCTAGTCCAACAATGGCTGTCCACCAATGGAAGGTCCAGGAATCCAGCAGTTGTTCTGTCATGAGGCTGGAAGTTTCAGCTGGTCTTCAGCATACGCTGGAATCCCAAAGGAGGAGGCTTTAATGTCCGTGAAGCAATGTGCTTGCCAGGAGATGGAGAATAAGCAGGTAAAGAGAGCAAGCTTCCTCCTTCCATGTCCTTGCTGGAACAGGCTTCAGGCTGCTAGCAGAAGGTGTGGCCCAGGTTGATGGATCGTCCCATCTCAAAGGATTGAGATTAAAAGTGGGTCTTTTCCATTTCAAACAATTAAGGGAAAAAAATTCCTCACAGGTACACTCAGCCACTTGTGTTGTAGTTAATTCCAGACATAGTCAGGTTGACAACCAAGAATAGCCACCATGGTCCTCATAGTCTGATTTGACTCTAGTGTCAGGAGGCATGGCCTCTCGTGCAAGCTAACAACTGCAATCTCTCTCCTCCCCTTCCTTCCTCTCCTCTCCTCTCTCTCCCCTCTCTTCTTCCCCCTTCTCTCTGTGTTGCAAGATCTAACTCTTTACGATAAGAAACAACATAAAGTGCCCCAACACAGTACCATAAGTCCAGGACGGTGGGCACCTTGAATTTCTACTTGCAGCAATCTGGATCGTGCTGAAAGTGTTGGCTAGAGCAATTGGATAGGGAAAAACTAGAAAATTATTTCTATAGTGCTAGAATGGAACAGCTGGAAAATACTATGCAATCAATGACAAGATTAAATAAAGTGAAACATAGCTTTTATTTTCAAGATAATCAGAACAGTGGAAGAGGAAGGCTCTGCCAATAATAATAATAATAATAATAATAATAATAATAATAATAATAAAAATCTTAACTACTTAAGAATCACAACTTAGGAATGTTAGGAAATCTTATGGGAAAAACTTTAAACTCAAAGATTCAGATGTATGCTTTTAATCCCAGCAATCAGGCAGGAGGGATCTCTGAGTTTGAGGCTGGCCTGATTTACAGAGTAAGTTCCAGAACAGGCAAGGCTACACAGAGAAACCATCTCAAAAAAAAAAAAAAAAAACCCACATAGATCCAGAAGTGAAGTGCTGAAGTGCTGAAACTGGAGAGATGGCTCAATGGTTAAGAACACTGGCTTAGCTAGGCGTGATAGCACACACCTTTAGTCCCAGTGCTCTGGGAGGCAGAGACAGGTGGATCGCTGTGAGTTTGAGGACAGCCAAGGTTACACAGAGAAACCCTGTCTCAAAAAAATCAAATCAAAAGAACACTGGCTGTTCTTCCAGAGGACCTGGGTTCAATTTCCAGAAACTACATGGTGGCTCACAACTGTAACCCCAGCTCCAAGGGATACAACATCCTCACACTGACATACATGCAGAAAAAAACACCAGTGCAAATACAATAAAAATAAACAAAGCATTAAAAAAAAGTAGACCACATTTAAAGACTTTATCAGTGTCTCAGCAAAGTAAATTCTGTGCTCGTGTGTTACTTAATGAACTGAATGCAATACCCTCAAGTTTTTACAATCTTTCATTTTTTTTAAAAAGAAAAGTCCTGTCACTATGAAATAATGAGATACATAAAGAGCTATAAAAGCAGTGTAGAGGGGAGCCACAGCTGCCTTGGTGGAGAGATCTTTGCCATGAGCCAGGCAATCTGAGTTCATCCCCAGGACCCACACACGAAAGAGGGGACCACTCCCAGAGCCATCAATCTCCACACGTGTGCTGGAAGAATTAGAACACACACAACAAAGTTCAAAAATGTAACTAAAAAACAGCACACATTA